GTGCCCTCGCCCCGCGCCGCTGGGGGGTTGCACAAGTTCCTCCCACCCCGGAAAGTTGTATTTGTGGGTTTAGCAAACTTTGGACTCTCTGGCCCGGGTTTTTATCGGAGATCTTGGGAACACAGAGAACTTTTGCTTTCAAACCCCCGCAGAACACTGGTGTCTTAAAAGAGATTTTCCGCACAGCAGCTCATTTTCCTTTCAATTTCTTCATCCTCTGCAATCCCAGATGCAGGCTGGTGTCCTCGGAGTTTGTTCCAGAGTTTATTGCCATGGCGCTGCCCGGCGCTTTTTTGGCTGGGTGACACTTCAGGTTGTCCTCCTGCCCAAGGTGTCTCCCGGACTACAAATTATAACCTTGCTTTATATCGCAACCCTGCTTTTAACTATAATTAAAGTCACGGGGTGCTGCATAAACAATTTTTTTGGGGGGAGGCTGAATTGGGCACATTGTCTCTTGCACCCTTGTCTGTGACCTCCCGTGGGGGACAACCCCTCACATCGCACCCTCAGTCTCCTACCTGCGTGCTCAGCTCCCGTCCCACCAAGGGGAAAATCACATGTATTGTTCAATTGCGTCTATCACAGGGCTGGGCGAAGGTGGTTGTGCAACCCAAAGGGCTTTTCAGTGTTTATCCCTCTTCAGGCAGAGAATATCTTGATTGAACTTCCCACTCTCCCAAGTTGCATCAGCCTAACGTCAGCTCCTGGTTTGGGGTTTTGCTGTGTCCCTTCCCTGCTGGAGCATCTGTGACCCCTCCCTCCTTCCCCAGCATCCCGGTTATGTGAGCTCATCCCCGTGATGCTGGAGGCATTTGGCCCATGGGTGCAATGTGGCTCCACTGGAGCATCCATCCTTTCCCCCTGAGCCCTTTCCCCGGGGCAGCCCTGTGCAGGCTGGAGAGCAAGAGAAATATTTCTGTGGTTGCATCAGGGTGTTCCTGGCTCCCGCCTTTCCCGTGGATGCTGGGAGCCCGCGCACCTCTGGGGCTTCCCCAGCTGCTCTCAACGCCCTGCCTTCAGCCCTCCATCTCTCCAAGCTTTTCCCATTGGCTTTTGGTCTTTTTTCACTGGGTCCTGTCCAGTGGAAAAAGGTTAAACCTTGAGGGATTGCTTCCCCTGCACGTGTGTGACATTTGCTCAAGGTTCGTGGTGTGTTGAGCCTCGTGAGGACCTGGGTGTCCCCCTCTTCTCTTGCATCATCGGCTTGTGAGGGTGATGGCACTGTCCCCAGTGAGATGTGCTCTCCTGGGGGGCTGATTCTGGACAAAACCTGCTGGGAAACTCTGCCAGGGATGTTATCACCCTGGGAAGATGTTTGAGTGGAGTCCAAAGCGGTGAGGGAGGAGGAGAGGTGTGGTGCTCGCTGGATGAAGACCCAGCTGGGCGCAAGGAGGCTCAGCCCTGCCTAGGTGGCTGGTGACATCTTTTCCTCTGCGATGCAATCCTGGAGGCTCCTGACACGGTACTGCCCGGGAAAGGCACTGCTGGGGTTGGCACACACAGCTCTGAGCGTTTTCCCGTGCCCAAACCACGAGCCAGGACACTCTAAACCCTTCTGGGTCATGGCAGAGTGACATTTCCCTTGGGGAATCACTTGCGTCAACTTCTATTTAAGTGAAGCAAACAACTAAACAAAAGAAACGGCTTTTACACCCTCGAACGCCTGCTCATTCCTCGCCGGCTCATTCCTCCCGCCGGGCTTTGTTCCGCGGCCGTGCCGGGGCGAGCCGGGACAGGCCCTGGCCGAGGGCGCTGCGGGGACGGCGCCGGAGCCTCGGGGGTGATGGTGACCCCCTTCCCATCCCGGGGGTGATGGTGACCCCCTTCCCATCCCGGAGGGCGATGGTGACCCCCTTCCCATCCCGGGGGTGATGGGGATCCCCTTCCCATCCCGGGGGGCGATGGGGACCCCCTTCCCATCCTGGTTGCAGGATTCATATGAGTTTTTCCATGTGTGGTGTCCAACACTTAAGTTTTGGAAGGGCTGGCATATCCTCAGTGGTCTCACTTGCAGTGCAGGAGGGATGGGATTAATTTGGGGCTGTATTTGGAGCTTTTCTGGATTCCTGTCATCTCGCAGCTCTTGGCTTGATCCTTACTGAGCTGAACACATCCATGATCATTTGAGAATTGCATTCCTGAAGGCAGGAGCTCAGCGACTGGACCCCTTGTCCCTGCTGGGAATGGGTGGTGTCCCCAGGAGGGGAGGGATCACTGCCTTCCTGGTTGGATCCACCCTTTGGGAAGGCACCAGTGCTGGTGTAGCTGCACTTTGCACAGATGAAATGGTTTGGGTGAGATGGGATTGCATTACAAAGCCCTTACTGAGCTGACTGATCTCAAGGAGGACCAGCAAATCCTTTTTCATTTAAAAGAAAAATGACATTTACAAGTTTTTCTCCTTGGAATATCTTAGGTGGAACAGGACATCCGGAGGTCTACCAGGTTGGTCCACTGGGACCAACCTCTGCTCAGACTTTCAAGGTATTCCCATCATGGGAAGATTTTTCTGCCCATAAATCCCAGGAGGATAAAGAAGTGGGGCACAGAGTTCTTTTCCTGCTGCTCTGGCTATGTATCCCCAGAGCCTGTGATGAGATCATTACCTTCCCTGTGCTCTTGCTGCTTTGCATCACATGGCAATTTTGCATTTATTTGTGAAAAGGAAGGAAGAAATTCTTTACTTAGGAAGGAATTGTTTACTGTGGGCATGGTGGGGCACTGGCACAGGTTGCCCAGAGAAGTTGTGGATGCCCCATCCCTGTTTCAGGCCAGGCTGGATGAAGCTTGGAGCAAGCTGGTCTAGTGAAAGGTGGCTCTGTCCATGCAGGGGGTTGGAACCAGATATCTTTAAGATCCCTTCCAACCCTAAACCCATTGCAGGATTTTGTGGTAAGCCCTGTACTCCAATTTCCAGGCAGAGTGAGCAAGAGGCAGGGTGGCCTTTTCAAGGTTTCCCTAAAATATGGAGAGGTTGAAGCACCCTCCTTCTCTTTTTTAAGTGTGAATGGATTTGGAGAATGGGTTTAAAAGGCAAATACGGATTGCAATGAGCAACCTCTTTATGTGGATGTTAAAGAAAATGCTCATCTATGCTGTAATATGAAGGGGGAAGAGGGAGGGTTTAAATGAATTCGAGTGGAAATAAATTATAAGAATCACACTAACAGCAGTAAAGTTAGTGAAATGACATCCTGGCATAAAAGGCAGAGCAAGACTAATTAAATATTTAATGCTTGTAAGAGACACTGGCAGTTCTCAAGGTATCAAGTGTGATAAAGATGTAAGTAGCTGTCATCTGCTTTAGTATCTGATCCAGACAAACCTGTTTGTTCCCTGCTGTTCCATTGCAGCCAGCCCTGGTCTGGCCTCAGGAATGTCACCCTGGCCCCCGGGTCACACATGGTCTTAAAGATGTTGCCTTGTGGGTTGCAGATGGGTCCTTGTAGGATGGCCCTTTCTGGTCCTGTGAGCAAGACACAGGGAATGTCACTGGCTCCCAACATCCAGCTCCTGACATGGAATGTGGGTTTTTTTGGTGGAGTGGAAAAAAAAAAGGAAACCAACTCAGGCAAAAGTGAATTTATAGCAAAGTCCCAATTTGTACCCAAATTATGTGATCTGGGAGCCACATAGCAGCGAGTGCAGCTTTTGGGTCATTCCCGTCCCTCTGGCTGTGAATCCCCGTGGGATGTTTCACATGCGGTGTCTGGCTGAGATCCCTCGATTCATTGCATAGCCCCGGGACTTTATCCGCGCTTTTGGGATGAAAAAAGAGGAGTTGTGGTGTCTCCAGATGCCAGGCTGAGAGGGCCGGAGGCAGCGCAGCCACCCCGGGGCTTGGCAGGGTGGCGTGGCTGGCACCGCGTTCTCCTGCAAATGCTGCCATCCCTCCCTCCAGGCGATGAACAGTTATATTCCACGCTTCCCAGGAGCATCCCAGAGCGGTCAGGGATCGCATCACCTCTCCTGAGCTTCCCAGGAGCATCCCGGGGCGGGCAGGGATCGCATCACCTCTCCTGGTGTGCAGCCGGGGCGAAGCCGGAGCGCCGGGCGGGGAAGGCAGGAGGATGAGGCACAGCTCCCCTGGCTGTGCCACAGCTGCTGAGCTCATTTTTAGCTCATTATTTCTGCTTGGGAGCTGATGAAAGGCAGTTTTCAAAGATGCATTTAATGGGTGAAAATTCATAAAAATGTTTTCCGGGCTCTGTTGTGCCAGTGCAGCATCCGACCACCAACGCTGTTTGTCACAGCAGTGGCACCGGGGCTGGTGCCAGCATCCTGCATCCTCCCCAGCCCCGGGAGCTCTGTGGGACTGAGGGATTTGGGGTGCAGGGCACGGCTGCACTGATGTGCCAGTACAAAATGGGGGGGCAGCCACGGGAAAACAGACTTTCAAAAAAACAACCCAAACAACCTCTTTTTTTTGCAGATTGGAAGCTTGGAAAACTACTACCACTTTCACCACAGCAAGACGTTTAAACGCTCCACACTGAGCAGCCGGGGACCGCACAACTTCCTCCGCATGGACCCCAAGGTACCGGGCTGGGCACCCTGGTGTCCCCCAGCTCCTGTGGGGTGGTGGGATGGGGGTCCCCACCTGTCCCTGGAGGAGGCTGTTGGCTTGATCTGGGTCAAGAGTGAGCTGTAGCATCTCGGGATGACATGTTACCCTTGAGCCACAGCCCTGCACACACGCGTGACTCATTGGGCACGGGCACGGAGAGCGGTGCTGAAAAATACGTAAAAGTGACTAAACACTAACATCTGCCTGAAAGCCGGCAGGAAGAAAAGGGGGAAAAGCTTTCCAGGACAGAAAGGCTGTTGCATGCTCGGGGTGTTGATCCAGTTGCCACAACACTTGCTGCCTCAATGGTTGCTATGTGTGAAATCCTTGGCAATAGCTCTGCATTGCTTCTTTCCTAGAGCAAGCATCCAAAGGGATTTTCAGTGCAGCTGAATTGACAAAAGTAATGGGGTGGGAGGGGAAGAAGGCAAGGAGGGACCTGGGTGAGCTGGGTTTGGGGTGGTGGGGAAGGGCTGGGGCTCCCCTGTGGCAGTCCTCCATCCCCAGCTCCCCCTGAGCACTGCGAGGTGTGACTTGTGCAGAGCAGGGAAGGGTTAATGGTGGGAAGGTTTTTTGGGAGAGGGGCACATAAAAGCAGAAAAAGCCATTCTGGTGAATGTAGCCCAAGCTGCTAGCGCCTGCAGCGATGTCTGACCATCCTCGGGGTGCTCAGACACCCTTGGGATGCTCCTTCCCAGGACATCTCCACACCCGGTCCCATCCACATCTCCGCAGACACTCACAGCAGCCCTGCCCTCCCCAGGCTTTCCGCAGAGATTTGCTGTTCAATATTTGGACAAGGTCTGTAGCACATTTTTGAGGAGGAGGCGTTGGTTGGTTCGCGTGGCTGCTTTGCCAGCGGGGGAAGCCTCGGCGAGGGGAGCCTGGTGCCCTGGAAGGGTGCTGGGCTTTAATTAAAGCTGTTCGCCCTCAGGGGGTGCGCAGGCATCCCAGCAAACAACGAATTCTGTGCATTTGAAATACCCCCATTTAAATGAGTCTGGTTATAATGCAAACTAAATCAATTGGCTTTTAGTCATATTAACCTTTACCTTACCTTGCTCTGTGGGCTCCAAGCTGGAGCAATTAACTCCTGTTCTCTTAATCCTTCCTTATCAGTTCAAAACCTGTTGGCATGCCTTGTCTCTCCCCCTCTCCCATGCACATTTACAAATCGTTTAAGTGCTGCATTCAGATGGCACCAGCTTAGCATGCATGCAGGAAAACATCACCTCGAGGCACGAGGACAGGAGCTGGAATAGGGAGGATGGAAACAAATCTCGCAGAAATCCTGAGGAACCAGCCAATCCGGTTGTTTGCAGATGTTGGGTGGTTCATGCCTTCTGGGGGCTATTGTTTCCAGCGCTGTTGTTTGTTTGCTGTGGGGTTCCGTGGAGCTGGGCAGGAGGACCACGCCAAGCTCTCCACCCCCAGGAGAAGTCTGGGGAAGGGGAGACTCCAGGACGCACAGGGAAGCAGCCCGGGTCCTGATCCTTGTGTGACCACGCTGCTGCTGAGCTGCCCTGTTGCCCCAAGAGACCCCTGGGGCAGCTGGCTGCTCCTGCTGGGGCTGGTGTGAGCCAAGAGATGTGGCACGGGATGGAAAGGGAGCAAGGATGTGGAAAATCCAGCAATTTTGGGGATAGGTCAGGGTGGTTCAGCTGGGAGGGACAGTGGGATGCAGAGTGGGGTCACACCATGCTGTGCCACCCCTCTTGGGGCTCCACTTGCAGCTCTTACTGCCATAACTTCCCTTGCTCACTGGAATGCTCCTGTTGGTCCATGCAGTGCTTGAGCCTCATCCTCACTGCTCCAGTCTCTTAATCCCCATCAGGGGATGCCACGGCCTTGGTCCCTGTGCCTCTGGCCATGCACCACAGCAAAATCAACCCCATCTGAATTATTTGCTGTGCTTCATGGCAAACATGTGCTGGAACCATCTTGTTTATCCTGGACCTCCACTTTAACTCCTGCACAGCCACTGGGATCCCTGGAAATGTTGAAGGCCAGGTTGGATGGGACTTGAAGCAACCTGGTCTGGTGGAAGGTGTCCCTGCCCATGGCAGAAGATTTGGAGTGAGATGAGCTTTAAGGTCCCCCTGAACCCAAACCATTCTGTGATTCTGCAATAATTAGGGTTTGCAAGGGTAGAGCTGGGACCCTGGGCCTTAGGACTATAACAGTTTGGGCCATTTCTAGTACTAAAAAGCCTTTTCCCTCTTTATTTTACATTTTCAAGAAGCTTTTCCCCAGCCTGGATCATCAATGGAAGTTGATCTGAGTTTCATGAGCTGCAGGAGCTGTTGCAGGGATGCCCCAGACTCCTCCTGTTTGCCTATTTTCCCATGCCAGCCACATTGATTTATCAACTCTTCCTTGAAATCAATGTCCTTAAACTGCTGATTTCTCTGTGTCCACACACGATGGCTCCATTGACTCCTGGCTGGCAGCGCTGGGGTCGATCAGGAGCCTGTTTGAGATGAAGACATCTCTGTGAGGCAGCTCCTGGCAAAACCCCCCAAAATCCCACACCTTACCATCATTCCTGCATCCTGCAAAGCAGCAGGGAAAGGTAGTAGCTGTGGCTTGGGCAGCCAGACTCATGGAAATGCTGCCAGGGAGTGGTGCTTTAAGGAAAAAAGCCTGTTATTTGGGCCATAACCCCTATTTAATGTATTTTTATTTTTTTTTAACTAGACCATGAAGTTATATTTTTGCTTCCAGTGTTTAAATCCATCACTGTGTAAGCAAAGTGGTGCACTCTCGGCAGCCAAGGCAGCGTGGAAAATCATTTTTCTATGAAATACATTTTTTTCCCCCTCTTTCAACAGTGTTTTTTTTCTTTATAATATATATGTGTTTAAAACCCAAGCTCTAGGCTGGAAGCTGTCGGGTTTCTGACATCCACCTCCATCTGAGGCACAAAGCAATAAACTGTGCAGGAACTCAGTTCAGCTGACAGTTTTACATAAATGAGCTCAACAAAAGTTGCACTTTGTATTTTTATTCCTTTTGTTACAAAACCTTAGTCACAACAATAGAGACATGCCCATGAGCAGCTCCCAAAAGACCCAGTGCCATCAGGAAGAAAGTGTCCAGCAAGGAGGGATGTGCCACACAGCCCTCACAGCTCATTGGCTGGTGCCTCCTTTCTCCCCCAGCATGAACATCTGTAAAGATTTGGTCCATAAATTACTTTCATAACCTTTTTTCACTAAACTTGTGCTTCACCTCCATGCAGAAGGCAGGAAAGCCCTTTGTGTGGCAATAAAGGGTCTGGGGGCTGGTTAATGTTTGATAGGGATGGGATGGGGCTGCTTCCAAAGCAGCACCTTAGGCAGCTCCCACCACAGCGCTGTGGGCAAACACCAGCATTTCCCAATCATGGCCTTTTCCAGATCATTTCCCGTTTGATCTCCCTGCGTGTCATGCCCCGCTGGAACGCAAACAAATGTCAGAGTGGTTGGCTCCAAGGCCACCTCACACACAGCCACTGCCAAAAATACTTGTGTGGAGCTGGCCACGTCCCCTGAGATCTGTCACAGCCGTGTGTGGCCATCACATATTTTTTGGGAAATGCGTGTTGTGCTTGGGTAAAGCTCCCAGTTTTTGTTATTTTATCAGGAGGAAGGAGCTCGAAGGATGAGCAGCCCTGGAGCCAGGTGGAACAGCCTCAGGGCTGAGCTGCTGCCTCCCAGCCGGCAGGAAGGATCAGCCCAAAATCTAAGCCAAGCACCACCTGAGTCTTGTCCAAAACTTTGGCTAAACACTGAAATATGTGGTGTGTCTCCAGCGGGGCTCCAGCGCGTGCTTCTGTGCTGCGCTGAGCGGGGGGGCTCAGGCACGCGCTCCCAGGCGCCGCTATTTGTGCTCCAGGGCTCCGCTGCTCCAGCAGGGGAATCTGCTCTGGCTTAGACAGCTCAACGAGCTGAGCTCACCCTGTCTGTCTGTCTGTCCATCCTGTCTCCTTCCAAATGGAGCTGCTGTCTCCACAGCAGCTTTGCTGACAGAGATGGGGGTATGCTAGAGCGTGGGGTTCAGGCTGAGGCTGGCATTGCTTCTGCATCCCACATCCCATTTCAGTGGGCAATGCCAGGCTCAGTGCCCATGGGTGGTGCTGACCCAGGTCTCTGCTTGCAGGTGGACTGGCTGCAGCAGCAGGAGGTGAAGAGGAGGGTGAAGAGGCAGGCCCGAGGGGAGCCACACGCCCTGCCCTTCAATGACCCGGTGTGGCCCAACATGTGGTACCTGGTGGGTGTCTCCCTGTCACTGCTTTATGGGGGGTCATTTATTTCTAAGCAAATGCATCATCAATCTTTGCTCAGCCCAGCCAGTGATGAAATAATAGCATCAAATGTGCTTGGCAGCCGGATTTAAAAATTGTGAATTAATACACCTGAGAGTCTGGTTTGAAGTGTTTCACCCTTGTTAGCAGCCCCTCTTCATGGTCTGCACAGCAAAGGCTTGGGAACAGCACTGCTGTATTTTACCCATCCCAGAGCTGCAGCCATCTATTTGTAATATAATTTTTCTCCTGCCTGCTTCATCGATCTGTATTTGACAGGGAAATTCATTGAAAATTAAGGGCGGAAAGGAAGTGAGCACTTCAAAACCCAGGAGCCCATAGTACTTGAAATGGAAGGGGAAAAGAATAATGGGGAGATAGCATTGCCTGGATTAACTGCTGCAGGATGGGTTTGATCTGTGGAGTAAAGTTATAACAAATCTGCAAGTTATATGGCAGGGGGTGGGTTGTAAATATATTTTCTGGTTGATTAAATGGGCTCCCAGCCTGGCTGTTTGCTTAGATGGGCTGGGATGGGGTTGCAGCCCTTTTGCAGCTGTGTTTGTCCCCACAGCACTGCGGTGATAAAAACAGCCGGTGCAGGTCGGAGATGAACATCCTGGCAGCCTGGCAGAGGGGCTACACGGGCAAGAACGTGGTGGTCACCATCCTGGATGACGGCATAGAGAGGAACCACCCCGACCTCCTGCAGAACTACGTGAGCTGGGGGATGGACGGGATGGACTGGGGCTGATCCTCACCATGAATTGATTCATGGAGAATTTCAGTGTGTAAACACAGCTGAAGTCTGTGCATTGGCATACTTAGAGGAAAAGGTTTGTTGTTTTGTTGTTTTTTTTAAAAAAAAGCTTGAGATGTTTTTAAGAAGGAAATGAGGTTTTTAGATAAAGAGGATTGGGGGAACTCCCTTTGCAGCTGCCTGGGAAGCAGCCTCCTCCCTCTGCTCACCAGGGCAGAGCCAAAAACCTGCATGAATCCGTTCAGCCCAGCTCAAACCCCACGTGGCCAGAATGGGAGGGAGGGAGGGAGGTGCTGAACCCAGCAGGATTTGGGGTTCAGAGGAGCAGTTCCTGAGGTAGCAGGATATTTCCCCTGGGAAACACACAGGACTGCAGCCTAAAACTATTTATTCCGAGCAAACAGACAGAAACTGAAGGGGAAATGTAATTTTCTGCTCTGCTTGCCTGCACTGGCCATCACTGCAGCTACTGGCCACCACAAGCACCTAGTAAGTTGAATTTAATGGTGAATCTAATATTTTCAGGACCCTCTTGCAAGCTATGATGTTAATGGGAATGACCACGACCCCACTCCACGCTACGATGCCAGCAATGAGAACAAGTATGTGATGATAATTGTAATGGAGCAAGGGGTCTGGGGGTGTTCCTGAGGCTGGGTGTCCCCTCTGGGGCCTTCCAGGCCGCTTTCCTCACTCCCAGTGCTGAGGAGGAGGAGGCTGCCTTAAGGACGTTGCACTAAGTCCTTGTGTTTAATGCAAATTCAGCTGGTGCCAACCACACTAATTGCTAATGAATCCTCCAGCCACCCAATACAGCGCCAGGGGGTTCCCTGCCCTGTCCGGAGATTGAACCATGTGAGTCAGGATGGGTGGCTGAGATGGCAAAGCCTGGATGCATTTTTTGGGCTTCAGATAAAGCGGGATGGTTACAGATGGAAAGGAAACATGAATGCAAAGAGCAGCCTGCATAGAGGTGCAAGATGCAAAGAGGAAGTTGCATTTAGGTGCAAAATGCAAAGAGGAAGTTGCATCAAGGTGCAAAATGCAAACAGCAAATTGGATTTAGGTGCAAAATGCAAACAGCAAATTGCTTTCAGCATTAGTTTCCTCCACCTGCTTGGTGTGGGTTTTGGGTAAGGGCAGTTTCTCGCTCTGCTCCAGCCTTGGGGCTGGTGTTGGCTGCTGGGTGGGGTGGCTGGGGGATCCTTGGCCATGGCCAGAGCTGATG